CAGTGATTATTTGAATGTTATAGATTTGGAGCTTATGAAAATTGGAGGTTATGAACCGCTCTGTTTATTTAATATTTTAAGCGTTGGAGTTTGTGAAATTTGGAGTTTATGAAACGCTCCCATCCTACACTCATCTCCATTCATACTTGGCTTAAAATACCTACTATGTATGGTCTTTTTACAGGGATGACTTTTTTTAAATGTATGACAACAGCTAATTTGCAACCAAAAGGTGAGTGAGCGTAGCGAACGAACATCAACCTGGAGGCGAGTAAGCGTAGCGAACGAGCTAACCTGAAAAAAAGTGAGCGCAGCGAACGATTTCCAACCTGAAGGTGAGTGAGCGTAGCGAACGAACTTCAACCAGGACGTGATTGAGCCATGCGAATACTTATGAAGTTAAGCGGGGCAAAGCCCGCGGGTACAGCTAGTATATATATATATATATATTTGAATTTATACAGATGGTGTTTTTGGCTTCTAGGGACATCAAAATGAAAAAGTAAATCGGTCCCTTGTCCAAGTCTTACCATGAGACCTACGGTAATAGCTTATTCCCTATATAGGGAATTCGGTAAAAATTAGGGGTAAAATTCCTCTTAGGTGGAATGCCAAAATGCGATTGGCATTTTGGACATTTGTGCTGTTAATGTGCATCTATTGGCGAGCCTGCGCCTGAAATTCGGCAACGATCGGCCGTGTTAACATCTGGTCTCTAGCATTCAAAATGGTGCCGCCAATTGGGACTGCCACCAACTGTGAAGTGCATAAATATGAATTACATTTTTCACATGTAATTAGATTTTTAAGTGCTAAAGGTGTGAAAGGCATTCAAGTTCGTTGACAGATTAGTGAAGTGTATGGCGAGAACATTATGAGTGATGGCACTGGGCAACCATCTATCATTACTGATGAATTGGTGGCACTGGGCAACCATCTATCATTACTGATGAATTGGTGCGTAAAGTCGATGAAAAAGTTAGAGAGAACATCTAAGGGAGTATGTTTTATCTATGGTTTTACGATCTCATCATTATTGTCACTCATAATGTTCTCGTTGCACTAATCTGGCGATGAATTTCAATGGCTTTCACACGTTTTGCACTTAAAAAATTAATTACAGCGCACACTTCACAGTCAGCGGCAGTCTCAATTTGTGGCACCATTTTGAATGCTCAAAACTGGATGTTAACACGGCCGATTGTTGCCGAATTTCTGGCGCAGGCATGCCAATAGATGCACATTCACAGCGCAAATGTCAAAAATGCCAATAGTAGCGCTGGACCGGAAAAATTTAAAAACGGTGACGGTCGGTACCATTGATAAAACATTGAAAACACGGGAAGAAAATATACTTTGGCTATACTTACGGTGGTCGCTGTGCCACTATTTCCAAAGCTCATCTAGGCTGCGTATCAGGAATTATTTTATTGAATTGTAAGGAGCTAGTTTTATGTATCTGAAATTTCTGTTATCCAGGGTATTTTAGCAGTTGGGAGACTGTTAAAGTAGGTAACAGATGCCACTTCCAGGGTTTGAGTCTTGATTTGATTTCTACTGAGATGTGTGCAAGGTACATCAAGTTACCGGCCCCTTGTGTTGTGGCAGTGTATAAGTTATCAGTCCTGGCCTCCAAGCCGTGAACTTTTTGTTCTCAAATTAGGCCTACCGCACACAACAGACATTTTGTTGGCCAACTGTCTGGTTAGAGTCGGGTGGACAATCGAAAAGTCGTCAAGACTGTTTGGTCGTTAACTGTGGGTGAACACACGCCAAGACTGTTTAGTCGTCTTTCAAATGTCAAAAGGATGTATATGACAGAAACCGCTTTCATATGTCCATTACTGTTCAGACTTTGTGCTGAAAACGTAAAATAAAATACTGGATGCATCCAATTTATCCGAGAACCTTGAAAGGCCAACCTCTTATACTCGGATTTGAGGATTATCCGGACAAATGTTTCATGTACTCATGAATGAGTGAGTGTTGATAGTTTTATTATGTCTGAATACTCCTTCTGTGGTAAGTCTGTCAGACTTACAGACTTTTTAGTCGTCAGTGTGCGCCTTCAACCTTGTCTCTATGCCTTTTCAATACGACAGGACAGTTGAGTCAGGGAGCAGTCGGCGGGAAAATCGGTCAGCCCCAAAATGCCCCGACTGTCTGGCTGCGGTCGGCCCGTGTGCGCACTCAGATTTACCACTATGGGGCCAGCTTTGACTCCCGACTACGACAAAATAGTCGGCCAACAAAAAGTCTCTCGTGTGCGGTAGGCCGTACAGAAAGTACACACCCAAATGAAGTGGTCAAGATCCCCTGCTTCTTGAAGATGGATTTGCTATAAAATGCTCTCAGTGGTGACAGCAAATTATAATGTGCAATGATTTCTTCTGAAGCTTCAAAACTTCAGCTGCTCCAGCAGCATGTCCCCATTGGTTGATGAGGCAGGAGATGTGGCAATGTAACGTAGCATGGTATACCAGGACAAGGTAAGAACAAGCCCGCTTTACCGCAGGCCTGTTTGATATGAATCCCTCTGGTTGAGTGTAGGAAAGAGGTAACCTTCTAAAGTCTTCTAAATTAATCCTTCTTAAGTAAACCTTTTAAAGTAAAGTCTCACATTCCAGCTGATGTTGATAAGTAATATCCTGAGGGTGTAAAGCCATCTGGTCTGACTTTACATCTAAATTACCTATACCTCTTTATTGAGAAAAATATATGTTATAGATATTATCAAACTTCATGGACAGAAGTTTGATATACAGGGTTAGTAAATAGAGTGGAGACCCCTTGTTATTTTTTTAACGGCCCATACTAGAAAAACTAAACTCGGCACACCATTATGGCATGCTATGAAGTACTTTTTGGGCATAACCGCCACTTGGTGTTCATCCCCAAAATGAGGGATTTTGGGGGAAACTAAAAAAATTCAAATACAAAGACCCATCGAGTGTCCCCTCACTTTGAAGGTCCTGGTAAAAGAAAACCAACAACGCAAATTAGAGGTCTCTATCTCAGTTCAGTACAAAATGGCAGCCAATCGAAATTCTCATAAGTTCCCAAACCCAAAATGGGGGATTTTGGGGGAAACTCAAAAATTTTAACCGATAAGCCCCATCGAGTGACCCCTCATTTTGAAGGTCATAATAAAATAAAACGAACAACGCAAACTATAGGTCTCAATCTTAACACAGTAAAATATGGCAGCTAATCTATATCTATAAAAGAGGAACTATGTATGTATATAATATATGTGTATATACGTTATGGACTCCGAAACCGCTCGACAGATTGTAATGACACTTTCAGGCATTATTAAGCATCTTTCAAGGATGGTTCGAGTGAAGTTTGGTGCAGATCCGTCATAAGGGCTCTGCCCCAGAGGGTTTTAAGTGGGCCAATGTCAGACTTTTTGATCTAGAATGTTTACAAATAAATATAATTTAAAAGCAGATGTTTACTTTCACCAACTGTTTTGTACGTTTGAATAACTACAACATTCTGTATTAGCATTAGTCATGATTTGAAATAGTGCCACAGTGTTTCTACAGATTGCAGCACAGAAAACTATTTTACTTTTGAATAAGTCCAAATGTATTAAACCCCAATCGCAGCACACCTGTGCACTTAACAACGTTTAAATTCTCCAATGTTAAATATTAAACCATAAAAACCTTTATAAAAGTACTGTATTATAAACAATAAAAGGGATGACTTTTTTAAATGTATGACAACAGCTAATTTGCAACCAAAAGGTGAGTGAGCGTAGCGAACGAACATCAACCTGGAGGCGAGTAAGCGTAGCGAACGAGCTAACCTGAAAACAAGTGAGCGCAGCGAACGATTTCCAACCTGAAGGTGAGTGAGCGTAGCGAACGAACTTCAACCAGGACGTGATTGAGCCATGCGAATACTTATGAAGTTAAGCGGGGCAAAGCCCGCGGGTACAGCTGGTTGAATATAAAATTGCAAGTTATTTCCAATTTCTAAAGATTTCAATCACCTTCCATTTTTTACTGGAATGAGATAGAAACCTATAGTTTGCGTTGTTAGTTTTCTTTTACCAGGACCTTCAAAATGAGGGGTCACTCGATGGGGCTTATCATTTAAAACTTTTGAGTTTCCCCCGAAATCCCCCATTTTGGGTTTGGTAAGCAAGTGGCTATTAGGCTTAAAAAGTACTTCATAACATGCCAAAAAGGTGTGTAGAGTTTAGTTATCCTAGTGTGAGCCGCTACAAAATTTACAGCGGGTCTCCAGACTTGGAAAGCTGTAAGTTAAATTTAACTTCTGAGAATTTCAATTGGCTGCCACTTTTTACTGGATTGAGATAAAGACCTCTAGTTTGCGTTGTTGGTTTTCTTTTACCAGGACCTTCAAAATGAGGGGTCACTCGATGGGTCTCTGTATTTGAAATTTTTTAGTTTCCCCCAAAATCCTCCATTTTGGGGATGTACACCAAGTGATGGCTATGCCCAAAAAGTACTTCATAACATGTCATAAAGGTGTGCCAAGTTTGGTTTTTCTAGTATGGGCCATTAAAAAATAACAGGGGGTCTCCACACTTTTTACTAACCCTGTATAGTGTTAAGCAAAAGGGTGGATACACCAACTTAAGGAAAACTAAACTTTGCACACCTTTATAAGGCATTAAAGTGCACTTTTTGGTAGGTATTCAAAAAATTTCTGGAGTCCCACAATGAGATATTTTTGGGCCAGCATAAAAATTTCAAAAGATGAGCCCTATCGAGTGATATCTCATTTAAAGTTATGGTTAAAAGAAGAATACCAGCAAAAACTAGAGGTAACTAATCCCAAAATGGCAGACATTTGAATGTGCATTGAAAATACATGATAACTTAGGTTCTCAGTCTGAGAAAATTTCAATAGTGGAGGTGGATAACACAAAATCTTATCTATTTCAAAAGAGGTGTGTAAAGGTCAAGACTAGATACAAATTATCATATTACTGATCAGGGAAAAATTGATTTTCAATCACAAATTCTCTAAATTTTTATAGACATTCACTCTAATCATACATTGCACATGAAACCCATGCAATCACTTTAGTCAGCATGATAAATAAATGGCACACTAAACGCTTCTATAAGCTTTGCAGAAGACAAAAATATACAACTGATGTGACCTATCTACTAAGTTTAAAATTACATACAATCCCATATAAAATATAAAAAGTTAAAAATATATCTGTACACATCTCTATACAATTTAATCCTCTTTTAATTGGCCTACGGTTTATCACTATTTGGTTTGAATTTTCTAATTGACATTTGGAATGATAGTAGTTTCTCATCATCTACCTCCATGGCGGCTTATTGAACTGGTTCTGCCTATCGGATTGTTCTTTTGTTTGTTTCTCATTTTCCTGGAATCAAATCAAATTATTACTACTGTATTAGGATATTACATAGAAAGGGTGTGAAAAGTAACAAGTTGATTCTACCTCTTCGTAGTTTGACAGGTGGAATACCCTAAAACTACAAGCTCTGAAAATCCTGTGGTAATTTGAACATTTTCATCTACTGTATTAGCGTCAGTAAGGTAAGCCTGCAATTAAAACTATCCACTATAAAATCTATAAAAATCCCTGCCTAAAGCCATATTTAATATTTAAATATACAGGGTGGCTGAAAAGTAACTTACACCCCCCCCCCCCTTAACTTTTCAACCATTTGAGATATTTGAAATCTGTTTGCGGCAACCTTCTTAGATATGATGGGCTACAATAATTATGGTCAATTTTGAAAATTTTGCCCTTAGGGGTAGTGGGGGTAGGGGGTAGCTCAAAATTTTCAAATGACAAGTATGGTCGAGTTTGGTATCATTTTGCAAGTCTTGACGAAATATAACAATTAACATAAATAAAATAGAAATCGGACCATTAATATAACAAAATGGCAGCAACAAATGATTAAGAAAATGGTCATTTAAAGTAGTTTTGAACTGCAATTTTGTTATTAATGCTCCGATTTCTATTTTCTTTATGTTAATTGATATGTTTCGTCAAGACCTGTAAAATGATACCAAACTCGACTATACTTGCTGTTTGAAAATTTTAAGCTTTAATTTTGCCACCCTCATGGTTATTTGGATTTGAAACGTTTTAAAGCGCCATTTTGTTATTAGTGGGCTGATTTTAGTTTTCTTTATGTCAACTTTTATGTTTCATCAAGACCTGTAAAATGATACCAAACTCGACCATACTTGTCATTTGAAAATTTTGAGCTACCCCCTACCCCCACTAACCCCTAAGGGCAAAATTTTCAAAATTGACCATAATTATTGTAGCCCCTCATATCTAAGAAGGTTTCTGCAAACAGATTTCAAATATCTCAAATGGTTGAAAAGTTAAGGGGGGGTGTAAGTTACTTTTCAACCACCCTGTATATTTAAATATTAAATATGGCTTTAGGCAGGGATTTTTATAGATTTTATAGTGGATAGTTTTAATTGCAGGCTTACCTTACTGACGCTAATACAGTAGATGAAAATGTTCAAATTACCACAGTTAAGAAGGGGTGTAAGTTACTTTTCAGCCACCCTGTATATATATATATTTGAGGAATTCGTATAGGTATTTTGATTGCATAAATGTGTTCACATTTCCAGTTTGAACTATTGATGGGTGATACAGATGGTACTTACCATGATCCATCTGTCCAACAACCCGTTGTCTCGCGTAGCGAATGTCTGCGGCTCCAAGTTATCTTGCTGGGCAACATTCTGAAGTGGAACAGGGTTGCCTGGTCCTCTATCCAAAAGCTAAAACAAACAAACCAAGTTAGAAAAGAAGCAAACTGTTGGTTTTCTTTTAATCAAACAAATTAAGAAGTAATTAAATTTATAGTTTATAAACTACACAAACAATCTGAAAAACAAATATGAAATATAGTACCTACGAGTATGTTTAAAATATTATTTTAAGGTTAGAAGTTATGGTACCACATCAATAGCCTATTAGAAACAAAACAATAAGGTGGGAATTTCTAGTATAAAAAGCATAAAATTACTTTTTTTTTTAGGTTGACCTGAGCTATAACAGACACAATCATGTCTGCATATCAACAACTCGTAATTACAAAGACTGATACTGCCATCGTTTACATTCTGCACATGGCTCGTCTAACTTGCTAACTGTTGACGGCCAACCTAATACGCCTATTGATTGATTTTAATTTTCAAGGTTATTGCAGAGAATTCGTTAAAATAACACCTGATGGTTAGTTTAAAGCATTCATTTCAACAAATCACTAATTACTCTCTATTTTTTTATAGTTTCTATTAACCTGTGGATGCAATGCTCCCTGGTGTGGATTAACGTCCGCACTAGTGAGTACTACGACTATCCGCAGTACTATCCTGATAATTAAACTAATTCGTTAATTAAAAGGAAAGTATGTGGTTCGGATTCCAATATAATCTGTAAACACCTAGTTGCCATTACAGTCCAGGCGCTAAACGGGTTGAGTGTGCACTGAAAGTCTGACAACATTTGACTTTTGATTATTGTTGGGGACATCTAGTAGATGAAAAAAATCGATGATGTCGCATTTCTAGGGTGATCAAAACTTGGGGGGGAGTGGTGGGAGGGGGGGGGGAGTTGCGCGTGTCAGTGGTTTACGTTTCCGCGTCTAACTCTTAAACAGTTAATGATAGAAAGGTGGTTTGGCTGTCTATCTACGCCTAGATATATTGTCCTTCAAAATGGTTATTACAACCTTTCTTCTTTCTCTTATGCTTTAGGCCCCAATCAACGTTTATTAAAAAAAGGAAAATTTGAAACTACTTTAAAATCAAATATCGGAAATATTGTACGCGTTTAAGACATGTTACAGAAGATTTATGGTTAGAAAAACTAACAAGTAGTACAACAACACCAAGTTTAAGGAAATCTGTGCAAATACAACAGAGCTACGTTAAGTTTTGTGAGAGTAAACGTGGAAAATTTGTAGTAGTATGGAGGCGCGCCATGGATAGTACGTAGCCCACAGTCAATAGGCTATAGTTTTTATGTTGTAAGTAATTCTGGGAAAGCTGGATTTTTCTATGCTGTTAGACCATGTTGAGATGAGCATTTCCCCAAAAGTCCCCACTCCTCCCACTTGTACTTTCCTCTACCCCCCCCCCCTTTTTTGATAAATTTATATAGTCTCTTAGAAATTAAGCTGTAACTTAAAAACTGATAAGGATAACAACGCAATCTTTTGTTAATCATTTTTGCAATACGATTTTCTACAAAAAGTGTATTTACCATGTTATCTTAAATATTCATAGTTTCGACAAATAAAAATAACATAAACATGGGAGAAAGTATATGTCAGATTACTGAAGAAGAAGAAGAAGAAGAAAAAAAAGTGTTTATTGAAATAAAATATCAATACAGTATTTTTACTTATACACAAAGAGAAAAAAAATGGATTAATATTAGATTAATAGATAAATTTATTGATTAATAGATTAATAAATTTGTTTTATGTTTTGTTGTTGTTGTGTGTTTGGTCAAAGACTGTCTGTTTTGTGGTTGACGTACTGATTTTAAAATATTTTAAAACACTTTAGAAGAGTCCATGAATCACATACAATTATTCATAAAATAAACTGATTTCCACTACAAAATATACACAAATAGCACTACATACTAAAAAGATCAGATAACAAATTAATCAAAAATAAAATTGAAATGTAGCCTACTGAGAATCTGAATTTTTCCTACAAACAGTTAATAATTTATAAAACAAGCCTGTTACTTTAATAATTTACTTTGATAAATACTTAACAAACAATATTTTATAAATTTTTTTAATTACCGTACATAGATTTTTCCCACTTTTGTATTGATATCTCAATTCTTAAATTTAATAATTAAACTCCATTATCAATTCCCACCTTTTACTCCACGCCTCTTTAAGATAATTTCCAAAGTGCCCGCCAATCTTTGCCATTTAAAAATTTAAAAAAATCATATTCATTTAAATATAACTCGCTAAACCAATATTGAAGTTTTTTTTAAATTGGACATTCTACTATAAAATGGTACACCGTTTCATTCCGGTTGAGATTACATAGTGAATATTCATAAATTTGATTTTCCATATAGAGTTAACTTTTTATTAGATGATCCCCTTTATTTGTAAAACATGTTTTTAGGGATGGTTACGAATTAAAAAAATATATCCGCCATTTTCCAATATGGCCAACAACTTTGTTATTTTTATGGAATACGCTGTATTTTAGGATTGTTTTAGAATTTAAATGCCATTTTAAAACGTTTTTATTCGTGACATTTTTTCTCTAAAGCTACTACTTTTAGGAGTTACAGTGTGTTATATCTAAAAAAAGGCTTGTGGTGTACATTCGGCATCCTGTAGCTCATAAACAAGTAAGTTGAGAGAGAAAGTGCAAAGAATACATAAGTCATATATAAGTCTACGTAAAAAAATACATAAAATACGTTAAAAATACTGATTCTGTCTTTTAAAAAATGGCCACCATTTTCAAAAATTGTAGCTTACTTTGATATTGGAGCAATTATTTTATGGTCTTTTTTTGAATGTAGATATGATTTGAAGACTTGTTTATTCTTTGTATTTTCCCTCTTAAACTTACTCGTTTATGAGCTACAGGATGCAGGATGTACTCACAAGCCATTTCTTCTTCGATGTAACTCCTGAAGAAGTAGCTTTAGAAAAAAATGTCAAGAATAAAAAGGTTTAAAAATTGTGCGTTTAGCCTACATTCTAAAACAATCATAAAATACAGGGTATTCCATAGGAATAACAAAGTTGTCAGCCATATTGGAAAATGGAGAACATATATTTAAAATTTGAAACCACTCAAAAAACATCTTAAAAATAAAAGGTAGTCCCATAAGAAGTTAACTGTACATCTCTGTACATCTGTAAATAAAAAGGTTATCTATTGGTTCCACTTAAGGTGAGACACCCTGTATAATAAAATGAGGCTCTGGCATAAAGCAGCAAATGCACAAGATTCATTCATATGTATTCACAACAGTCTGTATATGTACTGAATGAGCTACATAACGTTAATATAATCTATATAAAGTGGCAAATTCAAATACAAAAACCATAATATACGTAATTTTTTTCATTGTTGCGGTGGACAAAAAAGTCAGATTCCTGTAAAATCAATTTACTGTACTATCTATAACCACTATATGCAACTTTTAATAACTATATATAATTTTAAAGCGTAAACTATGCACCCCAAATTTTATACCAAACATTTTGTCGTGTGACCTCGTATAAAAAATCGACAAGGAAAAGTTTCATAAATTAATCCGTAAAAATTAATTTTGTATGTTTATGATATTTTTTAACCATGAATATTTTAGGATAACATAGTAAATACACTTTTTGTAGAAAATCGTAACGCAAAATGATTAATAAAAGATTGCGTTGTTATATCCTTACCCGTTCATAAGTGAGCTCGTTCGCATGGCTCAATCACGTCCTGGTTGAAGTTCGTTCGCTACGCTCACTCAGCTGTACCCGCGGGCTTTGCCCCGTTTTACTTCATAAGTGAAATTGTTCGCATGGCTCAATCACGTCCTGGTTGAAGTTCGTTCGCTACGCTCACTCACCTTTAGGTTGGAGATCGTTCGCTGCGCTCACTTGTCTTCAGGTTAGCTCGTTCGCTAAGCTAACTCACCTCCAGGTTGAAGTTCGTTCGCTACGCTCACTCACCTTTTGGTTGCAAATTAGCTGTTGTCATAAATTTAAAACAAAATAATAGTGCTGCACCCTGTTGGTAATCCTTGTAAGTTTTTAATGCTTTTGCATATCATAGAACCAACTTTTTAGTTGAAACAGCTGACTAAATTCTTTAATTCCCTTTTAATATGAATACTCATAAGGTTAACATGGGGAACTATAGAGCCACTGGGGCGGAGCCCGAAAGGATTTTTGAGATAAGAATATGCCTATATGTTAATCGGCAGGGTGGCTACTCATCCAGGATAATAAATTTCCCTGATAATTCCCTGATTTTTAATGTTAAAACTGTATTTTTCCCTGACTGATCTTAGTATAGCCTACGAATCATATATGAAAAACAACTAACTTTTGACGACCATGAATAAGTTGTTGAATATACATAACTCAACAAAACAGAGTTATGTACAGAGATATGTTTGTTTTGTTGGTGGTAAAAAACATAACTTAATTGAAATTGCTTGTAAAAAGAAAAAATAGGTTATTGATAAGAAAGAATGCTTTCAATGGGCCTAACTTAAAAATATTTAAGGATTTACTCACCCATCATGAGCAACAATGATGATATGAACTGATGCTACACAACCATTGTTATTAAGGTCATGTATGTTATAGGCCTAAAATATAAAATTCAAATATTTTTCCCTTGTACTTTTAATTTACAATCTCCAAAGCTTATTCAAGCTTCATTTCTTGAGTTAGGCTATTGGTCAAATAAATGTTTGACAAAATCTAATATCCGAAAAATACAAAAATCTGTTCATATGTTGAATGTGTATTTACTCTTAATACACAATAAAAAATAAAAAAACACTTTAAAATGTCTGTAAAGGTAAATTTCAAGTTCAGAAGTACCCCATCCCTACCAAATGAATAGATCACCAACCACCAATAACACTTTTTCACTTTATGGATTTAATTTCTTCATTTAAAAGCTCCACTTCTTTTTGAGCTTCCTCTAATATTTTTTTCTTTTTCAACTCCAACTCTTTTAACTTAGTCGTTGCAAGTCTTTTCTTCATTTTGTTTTCTGTTTCTTTTTCCTGTTGTTTTTTTTTTTCTTTGAGTGCTTCGACATATTTTGAATGAGCATTCTTAGCGGAATTGATCAGAGGTTTTTCTACAATAAAACGATCAATCCCGCCCAAATTTGTCATTGAATCGTAAACCACTCTTCTTGCAATTAGGAGTTCGTTCCTCATATTGTCAACAATGCATTCAGCATTGACCGAAAAACCTCTCTCGACATTAGCGTTTCCATGCGAAAGGCTCATCGTGCGTTTCCTACAGTCATCTCTAAATTTGAGTATTTCTAAATCAGTTAGTTTCCTTCCATGGCCATTAGCCTTACTGATGGCCCTATTTGTAGCAATGCCAACATTTATTTCTTTACTTGGTAGAAGATTGGAGGGAATTAACTTGATGGCAGTGACTGATTTGGTTTCCTTGATGACATCTGGCTTTGTAACTCTTTTAATCTCATCCAACAATATTGACGATAGGTCAGTGTACAAAAAAGGCGACATTGGGTGATCAGATTGAAACTCTTTTAAGAAAGGTTCCATGTCACTGGCCAAACTCTTAAAAAACTCTAACTTCGCAAGCATGAGAGGATCACTAACAGCTTTTGCAACCTGTTGAAAACTATATGTGTCCATTCCAGTTCCCTTATTTTTTTTCACATCTTCAACAAATTCTTTTAAGTGAGGAATAATCTCTTGAGCTCTCTCTGCTACCTCAACATTTTGTAGCCATCTAACAGAACAAAATTTCTTGGGGAAATTTAAAGATCCTGTAACACTAGTGAAGTAAGCTCTTCTGGCAGGCGAGTCTTTAAAGAGATTATATACAGACCTCAAAAATTGAACAATGTCCCATCCTGTCACAACCATTGCTGATTTAAATGCTCCGTGTCTGCAAACAATATAAAAATCCTATAGATTTATGGTAATTTTTTTCAAAGAGTTATGCAAAAACAAAGGATAATTTTACGAGCTCAAAAGTTTTCTATATTTTTTACTACGGTAATTAAGTTAAGTCCTAAAAATAACGAATATGATTCCAAAATAGTAATCAGTTAACAGAAAATATTAAATTTAGTTACTTTAAGACAATTATAAAAGTTAGCTTAAGGTAAGAGAGTTAATACCGGTATGTTGATTCAATTTTAAAAGGCAATAAGAATAGGCCTAGGCCTAATTTTATTTTTCCCAAGTCAGATCCAGTTAGATAAGATTAGGTTTTTAGTGCCATAAAACACTTTTTGCCTACTCAAGAATAGGCCTAACTAAAAATAATTTAACATCAATAACAACTAACAGTGTAATAATTAATAGGCTATGTTCAAATCTGACCTAATAAGCCACTAACTTATTGTAGAAGTTTTGTGTTGATTAAGTTTAGGCTTAGGCATGGAAAGCCTTCCAATTCAAACTAGACAAAACAACATTTAGTTTTTTTTTATATATGGTACCGGTACAGATGAGCCTAATGTTTGGTTTAAAGTTTCTAATTAGTTGTTTTAAAAATAGGCTAAGTTATAGGAGTAAAGGCTATCTTAGCCTGTAGTTAAAAAGGGCTTAGGCCTACTTACAAGGTATGTAGTCCACAGCTCCCGATGTCTAGGAGTGTCTTTGAGTTAACTTCATCAGAACCTTGATCATTTAGTTCAGCTTGCAAATCTTTCAAAAACTTAAGGTTCACATAAGGACCATCCATTGAAATTTGTACAAGTTTCTTCATGTTTAGGTTTTTGGTTCCATCCTTGAAGGCCACTAGGATGTCTTCTGCTTTTGATCGACCCAGGAACACTGATGTCAAATACCTTGTGGTCACTTCATTTTTGTCCGGGTCCCAAAAACGAACATTAATGTCCATTTGTTTCTTTTGGGCAACTTTATTGAGAGCTTCATCAAAGCCAATTACCATGTAGTTACTTTCATCAATTTTTTTCAGGAGTTCGGTTTGAAAATATGGAGCTATTCCATAGACTATGGTGTAACCTATTTTATCTCTTTGAAGCTGCATTTTCGAGGCAATATCGCTGTCAGTAAACATGAGCTTGAACAATGACACATTGTGTGCTGCAGAACGTAAGGAGGCATGAGTCATTACTGATTCAATACACCACAAAATTTCACTTGTAATGACCTTATCCATTAACACAAATTTTTCCATCCCTCGAGGTTTGAAAGTAGAGTTTTCTACGTAAGGTTGAGGCCTATTGCATTGAACTTGCACTATATTATCTTCAACAGGTGTAGGCCTAGTGGCGACTTGCTGTAAAATTTCACCAGACGACGACGCTGTGGGTTGATCATTAATAGACCTAATAAAACATCTCAATGAAGCAGATTTAGCACATGCTGACATAAACGTTTTGTGTTTTTCGCCATTCATATGGCTAGACACCGCACGTTTACCCATATTACTAAGGTTAAACGTTTTATTGCAGACATTGCACTTCGCTACCGAATTATTATTTTCAACTCTCTCTAACCAGGGAGAAAATTGAGGCTCATTAAGCCAATTGAGTTGAAAAGATGTTTTAACACTTTTAGGAGACATTGATGACTATTTCAGAACACATCGCAAGGAAAAAATAGTAAATTTTATCACCACTGAAAATAAAAGAGGAGAATGTTTGATGATGAGTGATGAAGAAATTAATTGTGTCCGACTCCGATTCCGATATTCCACTCCACTCCAATGCCAATGTCCAATACCGAAGACTGGAGTGGAGTGACTAGGCTTTTTTTCAGATTGGCCATTGATTAAAAATCTCCTTGGAAATATAGGCAATGGAACGTTCTGAAATGAATTGAATTGAAATCGAGCAGGCAGGGTACGACTTCAGTTTGAATTGGATCGATATGTAATAGATGCGAGTTCAGTTTTTCATCGGACACGAATATAACACGCACATAGGAATTTATATTCAATGGCACAAGTTGAAGTGGAACGGGTTGAGTTTGAGTTGTTGTTAAGAGGCCGTTAGAATGAAACTGAGTTGTATTTAGATAGACAAATCATTGGTAGAACAAAGACAGATTGCAATAATGAAAGCTAACACTGTAACAAAGATTTATTAATTGAAATTCACTTTAAAAAATAGAGTGAGAGGCAGGAGGGAGGGAAAGAGAAGATATAGCAACGAAAGTGACCTTGAGGCATACGTAGCGACGTAGCTGTTGCCATGCGAGTGGGCCACTATTCCCCGCGCTGCTACTAGCAGACGAAACCTCTTGTCAACACGATAATGCGGACTCACGGTGGAAACGTATCTACGCAACAACATTCATTCTACTTTAAGTAATGTAAATATTCTATGGTTATACTTTTCTATTGTAATCATCAATATATATCGCCAATCTACTTGTTTAACACAATTCATAAAATGCATATTTTTCCCTGACCGTTTGCAAATTTCCCTGACTTTTCCCTGACTTTTCCAGAATTTTTAATATCCCTGACTTTTCCCGTTTTCCCGGTTTTCCCGGTCGATCGCCACCCTGATTGGGAATGTGAGCTATCATCATGCCAAATTTCAGCAAAATCCATCCAGTGGTTAATGCGTTTACTTGTCACAAACATACATCCATACACCCAAACTTTCTCATTTATAATATTAGTAGGATTTGTAAGAGACTGTAAATTTATCTAAAAAGGGGGGGGGGGTAGAGGAAAGCACAAGGGGGAGGAGTGGGGACTTTGGGAAAATTTCTTATCTCAACATGGTCTAACAGCATAGAAAAATCCAGCTTTCCAGAATTACTTACAACATAAAACCTATAGCCTATTGACTGTGGGCTACGTACTATCCATGGCGCGCCTCGATACTACTACAAATTTTCCACGTTTACTCTTACAGAACTAAACGTAGCTCTGTTGTTTTTGCACAGCTTTCCTTAAACTTGGTGTTGTTGTACTACTTGTTAGTTTTTCAACCATAAATCTTCTTTAACATGTCTTAAACACGTACAATATTTCCGATATTTGATTTTAAAGTAGATTCAAATTTTCCTTTTTGCAATAAACGTTGATTGGGGCCTAAAGCATAAGAGATAGAAGAAAGGTTGTAATAACCTTTTTGAAGAACAATATATTTAGGCGTAGATAGACAGTTAAACCACCTTTCTGTCATTAACCGTTTGAGAGTTAGACGCTGAAACGTAAACCACTGACGCGCGCAACTTCCCCCCCACCGAGTTGTGACCACCCTAGAAATGCGACATCATAGATTTTTTTCATCTACTAGATGTCCCTAACAATAATCAAAAGTCAAATTCAAAAGTCAAATTTTGTCAGACTTTCGGTGCTTACTCAACCCGTTTGGGGTCTGTCTTTTTAGCTGTATGGGCTATTAATTAACAGCTGTGTCTAAGGAACATGTCGGTCTTAGTCACTGACAAGACTACAAGATCACGCCACTCATCCTACACTCATCCTTTACTACTCATATTTGGGTTAAATAAATAATGGATAAAAATAAAATTGAAGAGGGTAGTGACAACTTACCATCTGTATGTACTTCTTGAGTTGTTGGTCTTGACTAGGCTGTGATGTCCTGTAAGTGACCATCCCCTCTTGACAGAACGGTACATCCTCCCCTGGACCAAGGCTGGCTGTTGATGCTGATCTGCTCACCCTCACATCTCCCTGGCCCTGGCACCTACTTCTGTCTTCCTGTGGCGCCTCGTACAACGCCTGAAAGTAGTGTATCTGAATAAGCAATAGCCATTATGTTTTAAACCTTTAGGGAGCGTTTATGTTGGAGCTGCAATAAACGATCGTGGCAACGTTAAGAGCAGAGATGCTTAGTAGGGAATTGCGATCTGCTTCTACCAATTGCTCATGTCTGAGCCATGACACTCACGCTGACAGGTTGATTTGTGAGTTTGTTTGTTAAAAACGAGTGTGTGATGTGTGATTCTGAAAAAGTATGATTACATTTTAGAATCAAAATCAGTAAAGGATTATTCACTGGGATGTAAAAATTGATAGTATTATGCACATCCTATCGATCATATCAATATTTGTGTTCAATTCTTGAGCTATTTCACTCCACAACTTGTCTAACACAGATTCTATTGTGATGATTGTGATTATCACACCTGTCCCATAATGCTGTTTCATAAAAACTTGTGATATTCGTATTAAGTAAAAACGTGCTTGGAGTCTTGATACTAGCTGAGAAAAAGGACTGAGCTATTATTGATGCTATCATCCATGGTTGGGATACAAGAGCGAATAACAGCACAGCTCCGACATGAACCCACCCTTAGAGTTCATCTGTTGATGTGGGAACAAAATGACTGTTATGCTTTGTGTTTGTGTTTCTGTCGACCCAACCTGACCCGAGAAAATCAGGGACCACCAACCCCAACTTTCTTTTTTCTGAGGAGAGCTCTATAGCCCCTTATCCGCCTGTATTCAATAGAAATTCGTAATCACCCCAGCATACACGTTGGTGGCATTCAACTACATCCATTTAGCGAATTTCCCTATAGGGAAGTAGCTATTACCGTAGGTGGCATGGTAAGACCTAGGCCCGGGACCGATTTACTTTTTCATTTTGATGTCCCCAGAGGCCAGAAACACCATTTGTTCAAATTTTTATATATGTATATATGTATATATATATATATATATGTGTCCGTGAACACGATAACTTGAGTAATTTTTATCCGATTTTGATGAAATTTGGTTTGAAGGTGTAAGGCGGGATAAACTTGAATGAGTTTGCGAACCAGCATGATTGGACCATGGGAACGGGGTTTTACAGGGGGGTTTTATGGGGTAAAAATTGGTTTTTCTAATTTTTGACCCTCCAAACACAAAATTTCCCAATTTCTCTTCAGACCTTCTTAAAGAGCTTAAAAAACAAATAATTTAGTATATCAAAGTGTTTTTGTACTATTATTAGTTACAGAGAAAATTCAAATAATTGTTATTTTAAAATTCCCATGTTATTCTTATGGGGAATATTGTAAAATGTTGTAGTCTGCTTGTTTATGGATATATTTTGATCAAACTTGGTAAATTTATTTATTTTATACTAAGTTATTAATATTTCTCTAAAAAACACACTTTTTTACCCTCCCTGTAGCATCAAGCCTATGTACTCATAAAAATTAATGTTAATTAAATACATTTAATTGAAAATCAATTCAGGAAACTGGAAATTCGCTTAGTCGGCAGGTTTGCTGCGGCGGGGGTATTGTTTCAAAAACTGGTAACAAATTTAACGTGGGGATGGAATGTCTAGTTGTATAAGTCAAACATTTTTCCCTCTGATCGTATTCACCTTGATGGGGTTGCTGATGATGTTCAGAGCCTCCCTCCATTGTGTCTCCATGACACTATGCAGCCGCTGCGCAATGTCTGCCCGTCTGTCTGCTTCTTCCTGCAACTTCTTCTCCAATGCAGTCCGCAGTCTCTCGCTCTCCGTCAACTTCTCCTTCCAACTGTTTATGTCTGCTTTGTGAATCTCTTCTACACGTAGCAAGTCTCTTTTGAATCTGAAACAATTAGTTCAATTAAGCTCAATGTTGAGTCGTATTGAGTTTGTAATGTCTAAGTACAGTCACGCAAACTCGACATAATGTGGACAGGAAGTGTGCAGTTTGAGATATGCCGGATTACTTGGGAAAAGGACAAAAAAACTGAGGCTAGATTTTTTTCAATGAAAGGCTCTATGCCAGGATTTTAAATTGCACAATAAAGGAGGATAGCAGCTAGCTAACCTAGAAGAAATACAGGTAGGCCATAGAACACACAGAAGACAAATAAAACCCACAATATCTTGTCCTTGAGGGGACTTTGTGAAGTGTATAGGAGTGAAAGTATGAATAATCATATTTTGTAACCTGAATAGCCTTATACCATTAGCTGGACTCTGTAAAATTAAAACTATGCCATATCTCAATGTAGACTTCACAACAATACAATAAACAACTCAAAGTGTTTCATTCATACATTCTGACTATTTCTGAAATTCAGATTCCAGCTTATATTATAAATACCTAGCTTACTTGTCGTGTAGTTGTCGGCACTGATCGTTGGCTTTCTCCGCCCAATGTTTCTCCTTGTTGTGCAGCTCAGCTTTGAGTGCTGCCTCGGCCGTCTCTAGTTGTGTCTGGAACTCCTGAAGCTTCTCTTTGACCACCGCCTCCAACTGTCCTTGGTACAGAGCTCGGAGTTCAGTACGAGCCACTTCCATCCTCTCTTGGCTCACCCGTACCTCTTCTTGCGCCAATTTCTGGAACAACCAGACAGAGTGATTTTAAATCAACATTTTTAACCATTGACAGAAGATTTTTTTTTAAATTCATTTATTTTATTAAATTTTTTTAAGTTTTAAGTTTTTAGGTCTTTAATCAAGTATATATTTCAACACAATCTGTCCATTTTTAACCAAAATAAAAGCCAGAGAGAAAAATCTGTGTCCACTTCTATGTTTGTTTATGTAAAAGAAGTAAAACAGGTGTTGTGCGAAATCCTTTTAAAACTCACCAATGCCGCCAATTTTCACCCAAGGCAGACACCGTTTATTTATGGTGGGCTCTCCACTCCTGATAAGCCTAACATTAACAAGTTACGGATTGCACATGTACAAGATTGGAACCCGCACTAGAAGAAAGACCTCAACGCTACACTTTTAGTGCAACGCCTTAGCCAACTAGGCTACCATTCCAATTTATTTGACGTACTACTTGAGGGCCAGTGGGTTAGCTGTTTGACTATCTCGCGGCGCAATGCGGTAACGAGCTAGAACGATCAGTCATCGTCAATGGGTTCGACAGAAAATTATTCTAGGACATTTGTGAGGCTAACAGGCATACCTGAATGGTAAAGTGCCCAATAGGGCACAAAAACACATACACACTATACACAAAACATTAAAATATTTCACTGCCACTGACAGCATTTTCAACTAAGGGAGGTATGAATTGAAAAGGAAGTCTTTAGTTCTAATGGTGGCCAGGAAGTTGTTGTAACAGTGTTATTCTCTGTATACATTTTACTATCATAGTTTCTATTGATCTTGTGTAGACTATATGTGTGTAGATATATATGTAAGCCTGCTTACTCGGTTGGATATAGAAGTGGATATTATATGAATAATATTGGATATTGGATTAAAGGTGTTAGGTGTAAATACTACACCGTTTTACTGATTGAAAAATTGATACACCCTTAGAGAAGGTTTAAGAACCATTAGACGAAATCAAGGTTACAAATTAAACGCTTGCTTATTTTAAAAATGGACCATTACCGTGTGTTATACATTTGACAGTTTAATGTTCTAAGACCGCATAAAAAGGCAATGGCCTATTCCTACAATAAGGTCCATGATTAACTTTAATATGCACTGTTTTAACAAGAAAACACCTTCTTAAAATGTTATACAGAGCAACAACTCAAAAACAACCAAAACATACAATATAGTTATTGATCTACCTCTTTCTTGTAGGCTTCGTTCAGGGCTTGTTGAAGTGAGTTCATTTTCTGTTCTAAAATACTATTTCGATTTCTTTCCTCTTTAACACCAGTTGTAAGTGTTAGCTTTTGTTCTTTCAGAACATTATTTTCCGCTTCAAATTCATTGAGTCTCTTTCTTGATTTTTCCAACTCCGCCTTCAGTTTGGAGAGAAGCTCTTCTTCCTTAAAAAACATTTAAAATTTCATAAAATGCAAAAATAAATTGTAAAACAGTACTTTTTCACCAAACTGACATTTTGTGAGATTTCACAAATCTTTAACACTGTAAACTAGACCAAATAATCTTCTACACCAACTCTTACAGTCTTTATCACTAGAACAAGAAAATATGTTTGTATTTATTTATTTATTTACTAGAAGGAAAACCCGGCTTTGCCGGGGTAAAATTGTACAATGTGCAATAAGTGGTTATAGAATTATTTTTTTCTGTTCTCATAGATGTACACTTATCAGTATTTACTCAAGGGAGGTATAGAAGAGCCTTCGATGACGTCAGCTGTCAGATCTCTTCTCTTGAGGGAACACCATTACCGCAACGATACGGTATTGAGCCATCGGCCTCGGTGGTGTAGTGGAAGCGTTCCTGGCTGATGAACTGAAGGTAGCCGGTTCGATCCCCACCGATAGCACTGATAGCTTTTTGTCAACGATTTAGCTTAGAATGTGATTGCTTCTTAACTGTGTGTAGTACATCTTTAGTTAGAATTTGAGGTATTATAATTTTATTTTATGAACAGAACTATTTTTTTGATTTGTAAACCTTCATTCGATTTGTTCATCATCAGCAAGTTTTGTTTGGTTATGACAATTTACTTAAATAATTAAAAAATTATAAAATTGAATTTAAGGCATTTATCATTTTATTTTATGAACAGAACTATTTTTTCGATTAGTAAACCTTCATTAGATTTTTTCATTATCAGTAAGTTTGGTTAGGTTATGACAATTTAATTTATAATTAAAGAATTATAAGATTAATTTTATAGACAAACATTTGGTAAATAATATGTGGGGTTAAATCTTAAAACAAAAAAGCCTTATTGGTCACAATGTTTCAAGTAGGGTATTAATAATATAGATTTTGAAATAAGACTGTCTAAAATAATAATTGAAGTCTCAATCTATTATAACAGTGATCAACTACTGTCACCAATTCCAACATAAATCAATCCACATGGTATCAGACACTTATATACTGCATTTGCTTTCTAGCTTTTAAAATAAAATATAGAAGACTGGTATCCACACTGTGCCTTACATACTGTGAAAGGCTTGTCACACAATGCGTCTGGTCCGGTAAAATCAGATCAGGCATGCCGGATCAGGTAAATTCGGAAACAATTTTAAAACCATGAATTCAAATGGAAGTCCCCAGACTGCATCCGGTCTGGTTCGTCAGGTCCGCTCAGATTATTTCGGATGGGATGCGATTGGCTTCCCGCAAGCTCCAGGTGCCTTGAGCTAGCGCATGCGCAGATGACTTCTACTCAACACATGGCAGTGACAGTAGAGGCACTTTTTTATTATTGATGTTTCTAGAAGAGAATGAAGTTCCATAAATTTCTCTAAGCTCATTTGGGAGTACAAGTCAAGTCAATCATTTATTTCCACAAAACGTTCACAGATCCAGCATAGCTGGGAAACAGGTGAAATGGTCATATACATAATAGCTATTTACATTACAAGTATAGTAAGAGCGTTTTTACATCAGGCAGGTGAATGTTGTGCAACGAGCGGAAGCGAATTGCATAATTCACCTAAGTGATGTAAACACGCTCTTGCGTAACGTACCTGACCCGACAATATACAGGGGGTTACATACATAAATAATTCTTCATTATCCATTTCACTCAAGTTCTAACAGTAACGCTCTTTTACAAACAAAAGCTAGGCTAGGAAAATACTTTAAAGCATAACAATAACATTCAAGCGCACAGCTGATTTCTAGCGTTGAACGTCGTTGGCTCCATAGAGGTACAAGCACACAATGTTATTTAAATGGGTTTCATTACCTCACCGAGTGAGTTTTTTTAACTTTACATCACTTGTAAAGTAAGGAGGTTGTATACATCACACTTGGGATAGGGAAGTTTAACATGGCGGGTTAGGAAAAATACATAAAACTATAATAACTACAAAATCAAATAAATACATAATTTAAAAAATCATTTACTTTATAATACACTCTGTCAAGCAGCAATTTGACAACTTCTTTTTTGGATTTTTCAAATAATTCTAGTGATTTAATATTTTCAGGCAGTTTATTATATAATTTTTCCCCTAGATATTGTGGAAGGGTTTCAAGTGAGGTAAGTCTGTGAATGGGCAGTTGTAAATCGTTTCGGTGTCTTGTTAAATAATCATGGCTATGGTTTTCATTCATAAAAGATTCAAGGTTTTTTTATCAAGATTAATGTTTGCAGGATATAAATTGAGGAAGCGTTAATATTTTCAACTCTCTAAATAATAATTTACAGGATCGTCTGGGTATTGAAAATGTCATGATCCAAGGATTCTTTTTTGAATTTTAAAAATGGTTACGGCATTTTAGCAGTTGCCCCAGCGCTCTATTCCATACAACATGTTTCACACAAACAAGGCAATCATCCTTGTCATTTATTTGGTCAGTAACATGCTGCAGGACAGACATCTGGAAACAGACTGTACTAAGTTTATTTGCTAGAATTGATGTATATTTATCCCAATTTAAAGTGTTAGTACCTATACCTAAGAATTTTGTAGATGAAGTTTCATTAACAATTTCTCCCTGAATATTAATATTTAATTCAATGTTTTTCTCTACATGAGTAGTTTTGAACCTAATAACTTGAGTTTTAGAACAATTAAGACTAAGCCCATTTGCTGTGAACCATTTGTTTAGATCCTCAAAAGTTTGGTTTATCAAATTTTGTAAATTGTTAGGGCTGTTTGATTTTAATATAGCTGTTGTATCATCAGCATATAGAACAAGCTGAGTTTAAATTAAAAGGCAGGTCGTTAATATAGATTAAAACAACAAAGGTCCCAAGATAGAGCCCTGAGGTACACCACAATAGCTCATTTTCCATTTAGAAAAGTTCTAACCTTTATAAATAATAGTAATAATAGTTATCTTTATAAATAATAGTTCTTTGAAAGCGGTTTTAAAGATAGGATTTTAACAACTTCAAAGCAAGTGGAGAAAAATTGTAAAATATAAGCTTAGAAAATAACATTTTATGTACAACACAGTCAAAGGCTTTTGACAAGTCACAAAACATTCCAGCAACATTCTGAGACCTATCAATGCCACAGCCGACCTCCCACAAGAAGTCAGACAGAGCCTGAGTTGTACTACGTCCTGATCTAAAACCATATTGTTCTGTCACAAAAATGTTGTTGCTTTCAAAAAAGATGATATTTGGTCGCTAATAACTTTTTAAATACTTTAGAGAAAGCTGGTAAAATTGAAATGGGACGGTAGTTGTCAGGATTTGACTTACTGCCATTCTTAAAAAGCGGTTTAATTTCAGCGAATTTTAGTTGTTAAGGAAAAATTCCACTCTGTAAACATTGGTTTATTATGAAGCTTAATGGACCTGCAATAACATTGTTGGTTTTTTTTATCAGCGTTACAGGGATTTCATCCCAACCGGCTGACATTTTATTTTTTAGGGAATAAATTGCTTTAGATACTTTTTCTTTGAAATTGGTGAAAAATCAAAAATACCCCCGCCGCAGCAAATCTGCAGACTTAGCGAATTTCCATTTGCCTGATTGGATTTAAACTAAAATGTCTCCTTAAAAATATCACATTTATTCCTATTTAAACATAATTAGTTTAATGAGTACTTAGGTTTGCTGCAACACGGGGGTAAAAGTTTTTTTTTTTTATGTAAAATGTTAAAAGGTATTGTGGTTTAATAAGAAATTGATGTATTTTCCAAATTTGACCAAAATATGTTCCTTAAACAAGCAAACTACAACAGTTGACTTATTCTCCATAAGAGTAACATGGGAAGTTTAAAATTACAATTTTTTTGAATTTTCTCCGTAACAATTAGGCGCATAATAACGCTTCAATATACTAAATTATTTGTTTTTTTAAGCTCTACAAAATGGTTTAAAAAGAAATTGTAAAATTTTGTGTTTATAGGGTCAAAAATGGGAAAAACCAATTTTACCCCATAAAACCCCCATAAACCCCCGTTCCCATAGTCCGATCAGGCTGGTTCGCGAACTCATTCAAGTTTATCCCGCCTTACACCTTCAAACCAAATTTTATCAAAATCGGACAAAAATTACTCAAGTTATCGGATGGACACATATATAGATATATAAAAATTTGAACAAATGGTGTTTTTGGCCTCTGGG